CATTTTACATATATTGATAAAATGATTTGTTTGGTTCTTTGTACTTTTGTGGTTTATTTGTTTATTTTGGTTATCTTGCTGTTTTTGTCGACATTCGACAATGCTGTGTCCGTATCTTCGGCAATAGTTACACCATTTTTGAAAAAAAGTTCACCTTTAAAATTTGAGTTTTTCTCATATATGTTCAAAATTTCAGTGATTTTTTTAGATGAATCTACGTCTGAATCGTGTACGTTATTTATTTGTGTAAAATTGGTTTGTATTCTATTAATGTATTGTAGTTTAAGATTTCTGTTTCTTCGAGTTTCATAGTGATTTCAGCTTGCTCTAATTTATCAACTAGTTTTCTAAAATCTAAATCTGGTTCTCGAATTGAAGAGGGATGTGATGCTCTCTTTTTGATTGTTATTTTACTAAATTGAGGTGTTAGAGTCATCACTAAAATTTCTGTCATTTTTGTGTTTTTGTAGTCATGAGTGTTGAGTGAATACGCTTTTCGAACTAGTGTTTCGATTCTTACTGCTAATTTTTTGATTGTTTCGATTGGTAGTCTTTGAATTTCATTACATAAAACTCTTTGATGTTGTTTGTTTCTTTCACAATCAAACATTTTTGAAAATTCTTGTGTGAATCTTTTCCAATTTGATTTTATATCTATAGGTAAAACTGGAAACCACATCAAGTGTGGTTTGTATTAACGCTGTGCGTCAGTGTATCCAATTTTGATGAAGTGGTGTTTTTACCGGTTCATGTCCTATATTTAAAAATGAATTTGCTGTGACTGCATTTCAATAATTTTCTACAGAATATTCAGGGTCTGTGCCTGTGAACACCATTAATGGTTTGTTTGATTTTATTGACGATCCACCCATAAGGTATGGATTCATAGTCATTTGTAATGATTCTGTGGCTTTTGGTATTCATGAAAAATTTGTAAGTTGACTTTTTTATTTCATGTTGCTGTAAATATTATGGTAGTGGGATTTCATTTTGCATTTGTGTTGGTTGATAAGATTGTATACTGGCAGGGTTTTTTATCTGTACTGTTTGATAGGGTTGTGCACTAGTTGTGTTTTGCGTTTGCAATGGTTGGTGAGTTTGTGTACTGGCTAAGTTTTGTGGGTAAAAACTTGTTTTTTGAGATGCTAGATTTGGCTGAGTTTGTTGTACACAGTATTCCTGTGTATATGGTGCAAAAATATCTGGTTGATAGTAGTTATCATCATCTGATGATAAATAGTTAGGTGTATAATAAGGTGTTTGTTGTCTCTTTCTGTTTTGTTGAAAAAATGGGTAATTTTCACTCTTATCTTGTGAAATTTGTGGGTAGACATGAAAATTTACTGAATTTGATGATGGTTGTGGAAAACTTGATATTTGTGAAATTAAATGATTTTGGGTGTTTGTACAGGAGGATTGAATTGTTTGTGGTCGATTGACATAATTATAATTGTGTTCTGCAAAATTATTTCCAGTGAATGTTTTTCGTTATTGTGATGGTTTCGTCATTGGTCTTTTTGTTTGATAATCCATTTGTGAATATTTTGAAACAACGGAAGGCTTAACTCTGGATTGTAATGTTACCTGTGGTAGTGTTGGATTTTTTTGTTCTGGACGTTTTAAGGTTCGGGTGTAATGGTGAAATAATTTGTTGTGTTGTTGTGGCTATTGTTTCAACTACTTCCTCATTTACTTCTACTGGTTGGGTAGGATTTTTAGTGTCAATTTGATTTTCCTGTTGCATAATAGTTGAATTTAAGCTATTGTTTCCTATTCTGTTGGGTAGAAATGAATTATAGCTTAAAGGTGTTGCGTCTATTGTGAATGGAATTACTTTTCATATTCTTTGTGATTAGAAATTGTGTTAATTGCTTGACTTGAGATGTCTGTTGGTATGTTCAAAAATAGGGGGTGAGATAATTCGGGGTCCCAAACTTAATCTGATTGTTCTGCTAAAATAGTGTCGGCGTTTGTACTTCGGGGTCTAAAATTTTTTCTTGCTTGTGCAATTGAATCGCTGTTATGTGTAAAATAATCAGTCAAAAACCATGCTAGTCTTTTTTGTAAATCGTGTTTTTTATGAAATTTCGTTGCACGATATATTTTCACGGATTATATTTAAACTTTCTGAAAAAGCTGCAATTTAATTTCATACAGTCGTGTGTCTAGATGTTTGAACTAATGAAATACTTTGGATTTCTTTTTTTTTCTGATATTGATAAATAACTATAGATTATTGAAAATACATCATTAGTAAATATTGAATTTACTCTTGGTGAGTTTCGATGTTGTATATTTTTAGGTATTCTGTGAATATTTTTGAAAATTCTTTATTTACGCCGTCTGTTTGGATTTGATATTTACCATAAAATTTACTCGGTGAACTAATATTTATGGATCAAATTCCACACTGTTGTGCTTCATTCTATATTACATATACCTTTTAAATAGTGATCGATAAATTGTCTTTTGATTTTTACTTCTGGAAAGTCTGTTTTACATGGGCTATTTCCTCGTTCAAATAAATTTGCAATCGAATTTTGGCGAAATTGTATTTGTCCTCTATCATTGGTGAGTGAATTGATAAGGAATGAAAAAACAGAGTTTTCGTCAGTATTTTCTTCACTTTGATTCACTTCTGCGTTTTATGACTGTTATTGCGTAGTGTTCAATGTGTTTGATTGGTTGATTCCAATTGTATAGACGTACCGGTTAGTTTTTGTATGTCCTTTTATTCTTCGTTTTCCTTGTATTGATGCATGTGATGTAGTTTCTGAGTCAACAAGGTATAATTGATCATTGACCGGATAGTTTTTATTTACCGAGTCTTTTAGTTTACAAAGTTCATCTAAGTTACTGGTTTCTGATTCGGAGACCGCGTTTCTTCGCTTTGAAAAATTTTTTCGTGTAATTTGTTTTTGTTTACACAAAATTTCTCTTTTTATTGTTTGTCGTTTGCTTCGAATATATCATATTGTTAGTTTGTGTGGAGTGAATACGAGATCATACTTTTCGTTTTTTAATACACAATTGTGTAATACGATTGTTTGTTTATTTCCTAAATTGTCTAGTGACATAAGGTTTAGGATGATGGATGCAAGATTGTGATTAGTGATTTTTAATATCCTAAACTGTTAGTACTTACGAATTGTTGGTTAGATTCACTTGGGTCTTTTATACAGGGTTGGAGAGAAAAGCATATAACGATTCCTGAGAATGATTGTTACTTTCTCGTGGCTAGTCTAAGTTAAGCTGTTAACTTACTAAATCTTACTTAGGGGTAGTGATTGTGTTCAAGGTTTGGAGAATAGTTAATTGATCCACAAGGTTCAAAAATAATTAGAACGCAAGTAGTTCGTTAGATACTGTTTTAAACTTACTAGGTTTAAGTATTAGCCTGGGTCACGTGAAGGATGAATAACCGAAGTTCTTTACTGTTTATCCTAATTAGAATGGTCAGTTTGTTTGAAAAATTAGTATTAGTCCTGGGTCTTGGTAGGGTTGGGTAGTGAATCGACGTTTGAGGTCGTTAGACACTTTAATAATTGGGTGGGGGAGAACAAAATTGTTCTATTCGATCCAAGGATAAGCCTTGATGATCAAGATATAATTTTAATGATATAAAATTAATTAAGATAAATGTTAAATAGAGATCCAAGGGAAGCCTTGATGATCTGTTTTAATTTTAAATGAGTTGAATTTAAATAAAATTAAAAATTAGGATGAGCCTTTTAGAAATAATTTAAAATTTAATTGATAAAAAATTTTAGTTTTTGATGATGTTAGTGGTTTTAGGGTTTGATGTTATGTTTAAGTGATGAAGCTGAAGATGACGAAATGGTTTATATATACTAAAATTTTAAGTTAATACTAACTAATTTTTATTTTTTTTTTCAATGAATATTTTTTCCAGATATCTTTTTAATTTTACTGCAGTTTAGAGGGAACGACTAGAGATGTTTTTATCAGTCGTTATTGTACAATAGTAAGTTTAGCGCCGTAATGATTGTTGAAGAATTTTCTTCAAGGATTCTATGTTTACAAATGAAAATCTAATTTCATTGCTAATAAGATTTTAAATGAAAAAATTTGCGTTGGCTTTTGCCGTACGACCATGAAACTTAATGGTAAGTTTCTCCGTAGTCGTATGTCGTCTCCTGTCCGATGTCTTCTTCCAATACCGATTTATTCTCGTTTTGTTCGGAATAGTGGCTCTGATCTATTGAGTCGTAGAGACATTTCAATTAAATTATTGTCATGAAACACTTTTGAAAATGTATTTGTCCAATTCTAATCTATTTGGTTAGTTCTAAGCTAAATTGTTTTTTAAGGTCTTGTTCGAGGCTTTTGGTCGCACCAGATGAGCCGTGTTCTACTGTGTAACTCATAAAGTAATTTCAGATAGGGTACACAGTCTGCTCGTCACGCTATCTTATTTTCGGCCTGATAGATTCTTGCAACTTCTTAGTCTAATACCGATCTTAATCTTACTCTTATATCTACTAGTCTCAATTAGTCTCAAAAGATTTAGAGTATACTGGTTTTTTGCGAGTCGGTCTCTGGGAGAGGCAACTAAGTTTTAAGTTAAATTCAAATCTCTCTGGTGCTGAAGTTACTTACAAATAAGTGGGTTGTTAGTTTGATGGAGTATGATTGGTTAGTATTAAATATTTTATAGAGATAAAATATCTAATTTATAACCTATAATAAATTATAGTTTAGATCTGGTTTCTACTAGTTTAAAAGAAGGTTTGATTTGAAAGGGGCGAAAGTCAGCCCTAACTAAACTAAGACTAGTTTAAAAATAAGTTATTCAAGTATTTTTAAAAGTTACGTTAGAATTACGAACAGTGGCCGAAATCATTTAGATTCAGAAGCCGTTGCATTTTTCACAGGTATGTAAATTGACTTCGAAACATAACTGAGATCCATGTTTAAATTCATAAACTTCACATTCAGCTTAATCCATGATTTTTTAACAGTTTCTTTTTGATTAATAGATATTTTTCAGGGCTGTCAGAGGCAGGTATTGTGGCATGTGTACCACTACTAGCGTCACTCCGGGAGAAGAGAGATGTCATTTCAATTATGACTCCCTTATCAAGGATGCGGCACCGTCTAACTTAACCCACCAGTGTACCATGGATATAGGGCCAGGATTTCCAGTCAATGAACCCTCGTGCTACGTCAACGAGGCCGGTAAGTTTGAAAAAAAACTGAAAAATAGTTTTTTTTAAACCTATTAACTGCAGTAAAAGCTGAATGGATTCTTCTATCGTGAACTCATTCGTGCATGAGTGTTCAGAATATATACTGAATTGAACCAGAGCTTCTGGTTGTTTTTTTTTAATTGAGGCGGCTGCACTGAAGCGTTTGTGCTAAATATACATTTAATTTCATATATACATCCGCCTGGCTTTTCTACCATCACCACCCACCTGCTAATTTTTAAGAATATTTTTTCTGTTCAAATTCTCTTCTTGTTACACAAATTAGCATGCTGACTATTTAAGCTATGACAACCATGTTTGGTCTTCATATCAGGGGCGGATTTTCTCAATGGAGGTGGCGGAGTTTCGAAAAAAAAATTCAAAAATATTGTCGCCCTTTTTAGATCAATCAAACTGATTTTGCGGGCGACCCCAGAACACTATAAAGACTTTATTTTAACGAAAACTTTTGCGCCACTGGAAAATTTGAAAAAAAAACAAGTCAAAAATGCTGTTATCGGTGCGACCTTCAAGATAAGTATATATAAAGGATAAGAGTGAAGTTTTAGGGTACATTTTAGAAAACACTTTAAGTCTCCATCTCCACCCGCCCCCTCCCCATCACCACCCTCTAAATTGACTGTACGATTGATTCATATACTCTTCTCATAGGCTGAAAGTTCAAACTTACGAGACAGCAAAAGCGAACATTCCACCTTTAAACTGATACAAATGGTGTGGTACAATGTTAATTTGATGCTCGAGTTTCTCAAATTATATGAAATTTCAACCAAAAAGATAACTGTATGTTTGAAGACAAAATACTAATCATTTCAGGTACAGAAATTGCGCCTTGTGATCTGTAAGTGAACCATTGTCTAACCAACGATTGTGATACTGATATTTCATGATGGCATAAAACTATTAAGGACAGAAAGTTAATCATAATGGGTCTTCGTTTTAAAAACTCGATTTGCGAGGATTCAACTTTGCCCGTTTTTTCGAAATAATTTTTTTAAAAAATACGGATATTATGCTTTTTTTGTTCCCTATTACATAATTAGACCATTTTATGTTTCTAGACATTTCATTTGTGAGAAAGACAAAAGATCTTTCTAAACTAGGCACCTAACCAATTTGAATTTTGCAGTTAAATTGGACAAACAAAACAAAATATTCAGTGTTTTCGTTCCTTATTTTATATTTGAACACCCTTTCTTTCGATAATCTGCTTTTAAGATTCTTCAACGTGATCAGGGGCGGGTTAAAAAAAATCTTCCATCGGGGTTTTTGACTCCCGTACTGCTCAAAAGTTTCCTTACTACTGTAAATGAACCATTACCTAACCTACGATTGTGAAACAAATATTTCAGGAGAAAAAAAAGAAAACTTGAGAACAAACTAAGGCAGACTTATAAATGAATTAACGTCTAGATCAATGTCCTTTTAGAAATTACTCGTTTCTGTGTAGTTTGTAAAATCAGACAACAGCCAAAAGTTGCCTTAAAACTCTTTGTGTCCTTTTTGTGCTTTGGATGTTTTTTAAGAAAATTTTTAATTCAGACTTTTCCATTTTTACTTATTTTATTTTTGACGTAATTTTTCTTTATTGGCTGAAACCAGTTGACTGTCTAAGCATTGTCCGTTTATCTTATTTCCCCTCATTTAAATCTGAGATATTTTGTTGAGCGAAGCTCTTTTTTTGAGACTGAAGGGCGTTTTTTGAGTCCAGAACTTTCACGTCAGTCTACTATTGCAATTCACACAAAAACACTGACGTACAGGGGACCAATTACCCGATTTGATGGTCGCAAAGTGGACGCTTTACCACTAGGTTAAGTGCTAACTATGATTGCACTTCTGCTTTATCTGCTGGTTTACAAAATATTCTGCTCCATAAGCCAGACTCAGTCTGGTGCTAGCTGAATCTTTTTTGGCTTTTTTGGTATACTACGTAAACAAGTATTCAAAATAATTTACGGCTCTGTTGATCAAGATTGTGGTTTTTGGCTCTGTTGATCAAGAATGTGGTTTTTGGCTCTGTTTTACTTAGGCACTGTTGTACTGCCCCGGTTTCTCATCAATCTGCATTTTGGCTTTTAAATCAGCGGCTTGCTGACAGAATGCAAATTGACAAATATGACTAAAATTGATATCCTGAGCGCAAAACCGCAAACAGTTTGGTCGGCTCATTTTCCCCGAGGTTTCGTTTTTCAGTTTCGGACTACTCTGACACGTGAGATAATAATTTTGAGCTATTTAGCCAAATTTTCGGAAAGTGAAGCGTACATCTCAAATCGACTTAGAACGGGAAGCGTACATCTGCATCGACTTAGAACTCCCTGTCAACCAAAATCACGCCAAAATACTGTTGTAAATTTTGCTTTAAATCATGAAAAAAATATATGATAAAAAATGTTATTTTTTTGAAGTTATACCAATTGCTTAAAATTTTTTTCTCAGGCACCTTAACCGGCAATCAAAACAATTAGGGTATGATTGAAGCGCTCAACCTTTTTTGATCTTTATACTTATTCAGCCCAAATATATTTTTTTGCGTTTTTGTTTTATTCAATGTTTAAACTAAATGATTGTTTTGCCTAGTTCAATAGCGATGACCTTTGCCGATTTTTAACAAGACCGATTTTTGAGCAGGTTAATGGAGATCATTTTACCAGGAGCTCTTTTTTTTGGTCTGTTTTTTTCTGGTCCACTTGAAACTCTGCTCTTATTTGCAAAATAAATCAAAATAGTTAGCCAAATATTATATTCTTTGAGAAAGTCGGCTTATTTAATAAAAGCTCACTATAATTTTAACAAAAGTCTTGAGATATTGCTGAAACTTGATTGACTAATTCTAGCCACTCAGAATGAAGCAACATAGTTTCAGCTCAAGATTTTGAAACATTGATTTTTGGGCGGATTAAGTAAGAACACCCTTTTGTCAAAGAAAGTCATACTTTTTCCTCACTTTTAAACTGACGGCTGCGTTTCAACTCGCCTCAAAATAGTTGTCTTAAGCTAAAAAGATGCATGCTAAAATCTCACAATTGAACTACTAGTGCACAAAAAATTTAAAATAAATACTACTGTACTGTTGTTTGCCCTCTAGCGAGCAACAAACTCAAAATGGGATAGGTTATCCGGATGTGGGTAAGCAAGTAAGCACACAAGTCTTTGTAGTGAAATAAAGTTTTGACGCATCAAAACAAGGTTTGGATTAAAACCAGCTTTCAATTTAATTTTGCATAACTTTTCAAAAGTTATTTTGCATCAACTATACAATAAAGTACGCATTTCGAACAAACGCACACATCAAGTGATTTTCATAATTTTTAACCACAATTGTGTTTCAATGCTGATAACTAACAAAAATAATTATTTTTCATTCATTTTTTCCATTAAATCTAAGCATTAGTTCCCGCAAAATTCACATTTTGCCCCCAAATCAATTTGGGGGGATACTGTACAGTTAATCCGTTATTTTTGATATCTATTATGAAAAAATCAGCAAACTTTTAAAAAAAATTTCATGCTATAAGTTCAATTCTACCTATGGTTAGATAACAAGTACAGGAATTGAAATTATTACATTGCTTTTTTGCCATCCCACATTTCAACTTCAACCCTTTATGGTTTATTGTTGTTTCAAACATTGCTTTGTTCTAATTTTTCGAAGAAAAATGGGGCTTAAGAGTGTAAAACTGAAACTTACACTACAATCACGGAACAAAAAGTGGCTTAAAGGATTAGCTAAAATATTTTTCGGCTTTTTGTCATTCTTACTTCGTTTCAAAATTTTAACTTGGATGTCTGTAATAAAATATTTGATAAAAATCAATCATGACCCATAACTAAACGCTAAGTAAATATTGTACCGAAACCAGTATGAGACCAAGAAGTTGCAAAATAATTTTAGGCTGAAAACAGATAGCGTGACGAATAACCGGTGTAATTTATTGAAATATTTTATGAGAAAGCACTTCGTACCTGTCTCAGTCGGTATTCATTTGAAATGTTTACAAATTTTAACGGTGTTTTTTGGCATTTAAACCAAATTTTACCATCAAAAAATGTTTGATTGCCACAATAGCTTGAGTTCAAAATTCGATTTGTTTCTTTGCTTTTTTTCCTCAGAATTGAAACGTGCTCTCGTATAATCTGCGTTTGTCTGAGTTTTTGTGAAATTAAGACAACAAGCGAAATAATGTGCGTTCAAAATATTTTTTTAGTTGCACCTAATATTGATTCAAATTTCATTGTAAAGCAAACTTCATCAAAAACTACTAGACAATTAGCGTTGTGCGATAAATTTTTCTTAAAAAAGAATCGAAACATGAAAAAATCTGAACATTTCGTTGGTAACGAAAATTTATATAACAGTTCTTACTAAATTATGTCAGCCGAATGTTCGGAATGAAAGCTCAAAAAAAATTAAGTAGTGATTGAGTTTGAAATCTTAAGATTATTTTCTACAAACAACCTCCTAAATCAATTTACAAGGCAGCACTGGTGTTCAAAATAATCTTGTTTTAAACCAGTTGTCTAATTGTTCCGACTTTGGTAACAAAAATAACGGAATATTTGTGCTCGGGGTGGGTTTTTTTTCTTCAGACAAATTTCGACTTTTTAACTAGCCATTTTTGAGGAATTTTTTTATATCATTCGAAAGGTATTGTTGTCTTGAGCTTAAATTTGAAAAGATATTTTACCTGTTATCATTTTTCGTAAAGTTACGGGGGTTTAAAGATTGCCATTTTGGCCAATTTGGGACAACTAACGCGCGATATATTTCGCGCTATTAACGCGTAAGCGGAGAGCTAATCCGTCTTAGAAATCGTTCCAAATTGGTTGAAAGAAGCTCACTTGCCATAATTCAATTGTTAGAGGGAGCTAAATCTATCCTTTCGTACTTTATATGGCGTGTGGGTGGATGATTTTTGCAAAAATCTTAAATTAAAAAAATATTCTGTTTTTACATATAGTTTTCTAAGTTATTACTGCTCTATAGACCTTAAAAGGCAGTCGGAACTTTAAGTGCCTCGCCCTGATACGAGCAGTCTTGTTCTCTTTATGGAACGATTTAACGAATATTTGTGGTTGGTGTCTTTTTTGCAGGCCAATTTTGTGTTCTCATTTAACAGTTTTTTTACCACGATGTTGATGAAATTTTCATACCGTTAAGTTTGGAAGAAATAATAATTAATTAAGTTCAAATCATAGTGCAAGCAGCAAATTAATGCGGCTTAGATTTCATTACAACTCAAATTGAATCAGGCCAGTTTGTATAAATGATTTTTTATAATTATTTTTCGTTGTGCTTAATATGGCGTGTAATGGAATGACTATGCAAACAAATTTTTAGCATTTAAGTTCTTTAAAAAAAATTCCTAAATTTTTTGTCATTTTTGTTCAAAAACCCTTCAGAAATATTGTCCTGATACGAGTAGTTACTTTTTTGTTCAACAGCAATCAAATGCATAATACCTTTTTTTTATGAAAGCATAATAGTGTTAACACTTATTTCAATGGAACGCACTTTTCGCGATCAAAAAATGCATATTTGCTACAAAAAAATAATCTAGCCCAAACAACGTCTGACGTTGTTGATTCTGAATTTGAACCCTTTCTCCTTTTTGAGAAAAATGTGTTGCTGAAAAAGGTTGGAGTTCCGACAAAGAATTGTAATCAGACTTATTCTTTCTTTTAAAGCACTGCAGCAGTCTTTGCTACACAGCTACTTTACTTAAATTAGTTTATCAAGTCAAAAAAACAACTATGCAAATTGTGTAAGAGTTTTCTAAGCCATAACGATCAAAATTAAAACAACTTCATCTGCAAAAATTATATGAAAAAAAAACCAGAAAAAATTCAGGAAGCCAAATAAATACAAGTCAATCCATATTTTATTGTTTTGGTTTAGTCGATGATGGAAAAATTTTTGCGACCAGAATTTTTCTGAGCTTTTAGCACATTAACTGAAAAACTTGATTTGTTTCTTAGTATTTATGAGTTAACACTGTTGCATTGTTTTGTTCATCATGGGCTCACAATTTTTCACATTAATCATTCTAGAGGAAGACTTTTTTCACTGTTATTTTCCTTCAATTACAGGACCAACAACGAATGTCAGCCATCGTGCCTTACAGCTGAGAGAGAAGATGTCTGCATTTTCCCATATACTTTCCAGAATTCATCATTCAACGGGTGCATTCAAGGCTCATTTGTAAACAGAACACTTTTCAACGGGTCATCAGACTTCGTTTGTCCGACTCAATTCGACTCGCAGACTGGAGATTACTTCAACTTTCAGTTGTGCGGAGACATTGGAGGCACATGTGAAATCCAAGCGACACCGGCTTGTTTCAGCGACCCGTGCGAAAACGGTGGAACTTGTCAGGAGACGGGAACTAATACCCCCGGCTATAATTGCGACTGCTCAACAGCAGCCAATTTTTTGGGGTTAAATTGTACTCTGGATGATCCATGCGTCCCAGATCCATGTAATGGAGAAGCTTGCCAAGTCACTGGAAATGACGCAGTCGGCCTTGCCTATCAATGTGATTGCAGCAGTGGGAACGACAGAATTGGCCAGAACTGTTCTGCCGATAATCCCTGTGTTCCAGACCCATGCAACGGTGGAAATTGCTCAGTGAGTGGGAACGATGCTGTTGGATATAGTTTTTCATGCGACTGCACTAATGTAATAGACGGAATTGGAGAAACGTGTTCAATAGACAATCCTTGTGTTCCTAACCCGTGCGATAAGGGTACATGTGAAATAACTGGCACGAACGGTGACTTCTCGTCAAATTGTATTTGCTATAACTGCAGCACAGTGGTCGGGGCGACAACTTCAACAATCGAAACGCTGCCTCAGAATATCAGCGAGTCAATGCCATTAACCACGACGTCCTTCGAAACATTGACCGACAAGGAATCGAACGAGTTCAACATGCTCTATGTGTACATCGGCTGTGGGGTAGTTGCGTTTCTTGTTATTGTTATAGCTGTGAACACTGTGTTCTGCTTTCTTTTAAGACGAAGTCAATTGGCAACAAATCACATTGAAAAAAGGTGAGAGTTCACACTAGTTATACAATTTTTTTCAGCATTAATTTTTTATTTGTGATTTCTAAAATTACTTAGAATGTAAGGGATTACAAACTAGTTAGTTTAAATTAAAACTGGAAAATCTAGATTTTTAGCAAATTGAGAAAACTGCCTTAAATGTTAAAATTTTTCTGTTCATAATTTTTGGAATTGTTGTATTTTCTTCAAGATTCTTTGAAAGTTCTTGAGAAATCTTTGATATATTCGAATCTTTTTTGGCAAAGACTTCCCAAGATAGGCAAAATGATCTTCGAGATTTAGCTAAATTTTTTAGTTATACTCGAACGGAGTACAAACGATTGAAGCTTGTTTTGTGATTCTAAGGTTCCAGATATTTTTTTCGATCGAGGAATTTAAAGAAGGTTTTGATAAATCAAATGATATTGCCAATAACTTAGACTTTATCGTATAAACCACTCTTTCCACAAGCCCATTAGATCTATGATGGCAAACTGTACAAAAAATGATGTTGATATTGTATTTTTCGCAGAAATTTTTAAAATCGTGTGATAAAAAGCAAAACCCGTGGTCGACTCTAACCTTCCTTGGGAATCTGTGATGGAGACAATAGTCGTTTAAAAAGAAAATAGCCGTGTTTGAGGATGTATTTCTAATTATCTTGGCCGATGGAATTTAGTGAATTAATCAATACATAAATGAATGTATTTTTGTGTTCCCCAAAACGCGTCCAAAGGTCCTGCGAAATCCAGATTTATTTATTCGTTCGCGAAAGTCAGAGTCGGCAGTTTTGTAATATTGTCGGTAACTAACAAAATTTTGAGGTTCTTACCGGCTTTGAGGCATTGACTACAAGACTTCCCGTGATGGTAAATCTCTCGGTAGGTATGAGGCCACCAAATGTACTCCGCGAGAAACTTCATCCCGAACTGGCCTGGGTGGATCTCGTGTAGCATTGCGCTGAAGGTTCCCCTGATAGTAGCCGGCACGACTAATTTGTTATCTAGAAATAGTAGGTCATCTTTAACGTGGAGGTCCTTTGAAACGTTTTTCATATACGTTCCGTGAATACCCATTGGTCGTTTCGTTTCTATTGTCTCGATCAAGTACCAAATCACTTTGTTTTCTCTCGTCATCAATTGTAGAAGTTTTTTGGAACAGTTATCTTCGGGGAATATCTGAGACATGGCTCAGTTTAACTCTTGACTAGGTTTGCATGGTTGTCTGGGAGATGGTCATCTTTAAATTTCAGGGCGATGTTGTTTTCTTCGTGAATTATGAGTAAAGGGCCGGTAATATATTCCATTTCCCTTATATCAAGTTTTTTTTTGTTTTGAGGTGTGAATTGTTTATTTTTAAAAATGAAATGTAAAAGAATCTCATCCGAGGAAGTGATGCTCCTGAAGTTAAATTTAGAATTGTCGATAGGTAAAAACTTGGAAGTAGAATTTTCTGCTCGAATGTAGGAGTTATCGAAATTTTTATTGACTGAGCAATACAAGATATAATAATGACAGTCGTTTTGAGTTTCAAATTAGCTAAAGAGCTATTCGAAAAGTCTTGAACAATCACGTCGCTTGAATTTTCCACTCCCGACGGGATAATACTGTTCACGAGAGTTTTAATATTTACAGCGACCAACGGTCTATCTACAATATTCACCTTTTCTGAATAAAAGTTGTCTCTATTAGATAAAATATTCTCAATTTTGTCGATTGAAACTACTACAAAGTCTTCGTCGTAATAAGAAGGTGGAAGGGCTTTGCCCTATGGTAATATAGATAAAAGATCAGTAAAACCTATATCTTTTCCTAAAAATTTGAAGAGCCACGTTGTCTATAAGTTCATGAGTATTTGGCATTGGGTATTTGTTTTTAAAAATCTGGTCGTTTAACAATTAAAAATCTAATTCCAACTTAATCGAGCCGTCTTTCTTCCCGGTAATAACAATCGGGCTGATAAAAACAATCGTCGTCACACTTTTTCAGTTTTAATTTGTGACCTTCGGTCTCCATTCTTTTCAGTTCTTCATTTACCCCCGCAAGTAAGTGAAGGGGACCTCTTCTCCCTTTTGCCTGTACCGGCTTAAACGGTGGGTGGAAGTGTGTTACTTTGTGATCGTTAGGAATTTTTCCCACTCTGGTGAATAATTTGTTGAACTCCCTGAAAATTTTGTCATTTGTTGAATGAAGTTCAATCTACTTACTCTCAAATGGTGTTTGGTTTACAATGAGCTAAGCTGGGGGCATTTCTTCTGTTTCACTTCTAGAATGTAGCGTTCAAAACCAACAGTTAGAAAGAATGGAGTTTCTTCGCTGATCCACCCGTTGGATTGTGTCCTAACGATGATCTTTCCTAAGATGTTGATAACATCATCTGTGAAGCCACAACACAAGTCTTTAATCACCTTCTCCACTGGGTGGATTTTCAGGTTGGGGTATCTTAATTTGAGCTCGTGCAACACGTTCACATTTGTTTTAAAAAGCTTACAGGGCTTGCTGAGTCTACCGGGATGTTCATATTACGATCATATCCCATCCCAAGCCTATGTTTAGCAGTTTCTTGGTTTCCAGCCCGTTTTTATCATAAATTGTTCTCACGCTTAGTACTGAGATGTCCTCGTCGTCACTATGCCCGTGTTTTTTCCAGGAGTTTATCACATCGCAAGATTCTTGATTGTCGCCCCACGAACTTTCCGGAGAGACGTATGTACAATTCTCAGTATTTACATAGTTATCATTTACAGTATTTACAGTGGGTCGTTTGTTACGAGATTTACATAGTGTCGCGAAGTTTCCTTTGTAGTTACAATTTTTACGCTTTATTTCCTTCGCTGGGAATACGTTCAGATGTCCTTTCGTAATTGGGTTCCCACATTTCAAGAACGCTTTGCTTCTTTCTATGTTGAGACTTGGTTCCTTCTTGATCTGATTGTGGTTGTTAAAAGAATTAAAAGTTGGTCCATGGGTTTACGATTGTGCCATATTGGTCAGTTTTTGGTGGTTAAAATATCCTTTTTGATCGATCAAGGCCTGGTTGAATGCTTCTGTCGGACCTATCGTGGCGGATAGAAGTTTCCTTTGGGTGTCAGTGTTCCTCATGTTACAAATAAAAACATCTCTTATTCATTCGGCTTCGTCATTGTCTCTTAATTTACAAGTACTCGCCAAGTCAGTTATGGTTCCAAAGAATTGTTCATATGATTCCCGGTCTTTCTGTTTGCGGTTTAGTAATTTGTACCTCTCGAACGTTGTGTTAGGCGGTTTGTTGAATGCTGCGTCGAGTAACGTCCAGAATTCTGTGAAGGAGATCGCTAAAATCTTGACCCTGGGGTTCTTATGCGTGAAGACCCTTTTTCCTTGCTAAAAATAAGATTGAACGCAGTCTCTTATCTGCTTCCGTCCGTCTCATTCCCTTGATTTTTCTTTCCTCCTCATTGATCCGCTTTTCTTCGGCGGCGTCATAATGTTTCCTTGCGTTCTTATTCCTCGTCTCTCTACTGGCTCTCTCCGTGTCTGACTCGCTTCCTGTTGCTTTTCCAAGATGGGGGTTTGGGTTTCTGGTACTTCTGGTCCGTTTAGGCTCTCTATATCCAGATTTTCTTTTGCAATTATCGCCAATTGAAATTGGTCGCTCCATTGGGTCCAGGAATGCGGTGGCTCTAGAGTGTGGTTTGGCCAGAAAGGGGATTCCACGCACGTTCGAATCATTAGGTGCGCCATAATAAATTATTCTGTTAATCTACGACTTAAGTACAACTAATGTACAATTACTTAAAAGAATAAAACAGATAAAAATAGTGTGTGTGATTTTAAAACGTTCTAAAGACTAATGCTGAACGAACACTCTAGGATCGATCGATGGTCGTATCGAACAAAGTTAACCGGTACTTAATTAGTACCAAAGGTCATTTAGAATAGCTAAAAAACAAATCACAACACTGTGCATATAGCAAAAATCGTTCACACTTTTTTCTTGCAACAAAGTTTTAAAATGAAAAAAATCATAATAATAATAATCATAATATTTCCTAATTTGTGTTTTGGGTGTGAGGACATGATGGCGCTAATAAATTTTTAGGAATTTGTCAAGTGGCTGGAAAAACGAACGGTGTTGAGTTGTTTGATCTAAAATGAACACAATTTAATCGTCCGTTTCTGTTTCAGTAATAACCCTGTTAATTCTCAGCCACCAGAAGATCCTTCTGACGAATACGAAAAAACGTGAGTTCACACTTGCATGTTGAAATAGCATTCATGCTGAGGTAGACACCCGGATTGAAAGATTTTGTTATTCCTGACAGTTGGCGTGATTTTTTAGAGACAGCCTCATTGGCTTTAAATACAGGTATTAGAATATATGGCTACTTTGAAGCTAACGTAATTCAACAAACCTGTATGGAAAACCTTTATTAGGTGAAATTATCATGACTCAAATAAAATGCGAAGTTTTTGGGCCAAAGATTTTGAATCAAATTAAACCGCAAGGTTTTGGGTAAAAGTTATCCAAAGGTTTCGCATGAGCGGCAAATCTTTGGCGTTTCAGAAATGTTCGGAAATTTTGGTCAATCTAAAAGTGTTTTTGTCAGCAAAAAAAAAACATAAAACTTAATACTGTAAAAATTTGACTTTTTTGAGGAATGGTTGCTAACAAAACTTTTTTAGATTCATGAAATGTTAATGTAGAAACTGCGAGAGAAAAAGAGCTTTTTTCGTTTTTTTTTTAATTTTTCAATTTTCTTAATATTGAGAAAATGTTGTTGGTGGCGATCGTCGCATCTTAAAGTTGAGAGGAAGAAATTTAGATGATGTAGCAGTTCTAAACAGAAATTGCTGAACAATTTTGTGAAAAACTTTTTTTGTGGAAAATTTAATTTCAGGACCACCGATCTGGGCGAATATGTAAACAGCCCTCCTTCGATCATAATCAACAGCCCCCAGCAAATTGAAGAAACGGAATACACTGACGCGTATGCGACCTCTATAGACCCATATTGTGCTCCAAAAGACGACGTTTATCAAGGTGTATATTACAAAGAAAATGATGAAGATCCGTATACTGAACCTACCAATTCAAATCACGACTCCTGATTTTAATCTATAAGATAAATATGTTTGCGATGATTCTATCGTCTGGGTTATCCAATTTTTTCAAACTCTTTCAAATATTTTCTAAATACACCAAAATTATGACAATCAAAAAGGGCAAGCTAAGCTTATTGTACATAAACGGCTCAAAACTTTTTCCGTAAATGATCTAACACTTTTAACAATGATCTAACACTATTAATAATGACAGGTATTTGTTTTCCCGCTTTTTAATTCGTCTAATTGTACCTTCGAAAAAAGTGCATTGTCTGATCAAGTTTGAGTATGTGAATGCTTATCAACAAACCTGGTCAAATGCGCCATACAACTCAGACTTTTTCTGCGGACTGTCATTTCTAACTATCCCAGATGCATTGATTTGAATTTGAAGTCCATCAATTTGATTCGACGAAATTGTAAAATAAAATATTAATTAAAAACTTTTCAATTGATAATTTTGGCAATCATGGTTGACCAAGAAATCCGATACGATCTACAATTTTGTGCAATTTCCCATTATTTGAGCACTCAGTTTGGTCAATTAAAAATACTTTAACTTTGCGCTGTTATTAAAGAGAAAAAATAGCCAAAAATTGGGAGTTTCTTAATCATTTTTTTATTGATAAAACTCGTATCTATGCGAAACCTTGAACTATCCGGGTGCCCTTAAATATATCAGAAATAGTTTTCGTTTTTAAGAAAAGTGTAACAGATTTATGAGCTTTTTAAAAATTTTTATCAAATGGCAGAATTGGTAATTTTGAAACCTGCGTTAGTTAAGCATACAACAGTTGTGTTCAATATGTCTCCGTCCTGTATTCGTGTCCTGAATTGTGTGGCAGTTTTTGAGGAATAGATATCTGTTGCTTATCTAATACAACAGAACTGCTCGTATCAGGCCTACTGCCTTTTAAGGTCTATGGAGCAGTAGTAACAAAAAAATTGAATGTGATAACATAAAAAGAAAATCCCCCCACATGCAATATAATTATGGCAAACAAGCTTCCTTGAACCAATTCGGAGCAATTTCTAGGACGGATTGAATCTCCACTCACGCGTTAATAGCGCGATTTTTATAGTTTTTAATTTTTAATTGTCCCAAATTGGCCAAAATAGCAATCTTTAAACCCTCAAAACTTTTTTAAAATGAGCACAGGTAAAATATCTTGTCAAATTTAAGCTCAGGACAACAATACATTTTGAATGATTTAAAAAAGCTCCGTCGAAAATGGCTAGTTAAAAAACCGAAATTCATAGTTAAAATTGCTCTAATGTGAGCTTGCATCGTTTGCTTCTTTCGTTTCGAAGTTCGCGTGAGCTTAATTTTCCCTTTTTTGATAAGTTTTAATGTAAACAGTTTGAGTTAGGAACACGTTTGGGTAAAAACTTCCATGGCACAGTTTTCCTAAAATAATTTCACTGTTATTAGCAAATAATATAAATAATTGTCTCAAAACACGATCCCAAGGGAACTGATTCAGCTCATTTGGTTTTGAATTTGACCAGAAAATTTTTACCGTACAATTGCTCTACCGGTTATTCTCAGTGATAATCATAGCTATTTCAGATAAAAATCAGTGTTTCTCATCTCTGATTCAGGATTTGATCCACTTCATACATAATCAGATCTGAAACATTGGTGAATCAGTACTGTAGGTCATAGTTCTAAATTAAGACCGAATCATCTCTGAATCAGGGATAATTTTTATGGTTTTCGGAAAGCAAAAATAAAAAAACCCCGGGTTGAGCCTTCAATATTCAAATCTTTAACCACAACAACTCCTGCTGCGCCATTGTTGACAACTTTTACACAAAAAATTGGTACTAAATACCAAACACTCACTTAAGTTACATTAAATTTTTGACGAATAATTACTGAGTTACTGATCTATTGCTGTAATGTTCAACAAGACTGCTTGTATCAGGGCGAAACCCTGAATGTTGCGACTGCCTTTTGAGGCCTATGGAGCAAAAAATAACATGCAAAAATTAATTGTAATAAAATAAATTGAAAAAAAAAATTGAGATTTTTTTTCTGAAAATCATCCCCCCTTGACGCCATATAAAGCACAAAGTGATAAATTTTGTTCTTAGTAACATATCAATTGAGGCAAATAAGCTTCCTTCAACCAATTTGGAATGGTTTCCAAGACGGATTAAGTCTCCGCTTACGCATTAATAGCGCGAAATATACCGCGCGTTAATTGTCCAAAATTGGCCAAAATGATAATATTTAAACCCCCACAACTTTACAAAAAATGATCAAAGGTGAATTGTTTTTTTTTTAATTTAAGCTCTGAACAAAAATATTTTTGAATGATAAAAAAATATTTCGTCAAAAATGGCTAGTTAAAAAGTCGAAAATTGTCTGAAGAAACAAAAACCCACCCCGAGCACAAATATTCCGTTACTTTTGTTACGAAAGTCGGAACAATAACTTATCTATGATTCATTGCTGCAAAAATTGCTATCCTGAGATGGCCGAATGTGGGATGATTGTCACTGCATTATCAATCAGGGCGGCTAACATTCATGCATACTGTATGCTTTCATTCACAAATGCCAAAGAATTATGAAAAAAAAATTATTTTGTCATTTTTCCATTGAATTTGAATATTGTTTAATAGATAGAGCAAAAGTCCCAAGAGATAGCATTACATAATCTACGAATTGTGTCTTTTCTTGCAACTTGCTTGCTTCCTATTTTTTTCTACTAATAGGCTTTTCATACTTTGCATTTAGGGACAAGACTGCTGGTGTCAGGGCAAAGACTTGAATGTTCCGTTCCGACTGCCTTTTACTTGGTCTCGAATAATTTTTGTTAATTTAAATATTGGCAAAATTAAAAATTTTAGTCTGATGGTAGGTTAGTATAGTGGTGTGCATACCGGGCTAGGCCCAGTTAGATCAAGAAAGCGATCCCCCGAGGGACCATAGTTTTGTAAATTTATTGTGAACAAAAAAAGATCAACTGAGCATATAATATATATTCCTCACTTTCTTTAAAAATCCGAAAAATAACTGAGACGGAACTCTATTCCGTCACATTTTTGTATGCATGACAAACGTTTCCCATTAAAGCACCTGGAAAATACGAATGAATAATTCGCAATTTAGACAAACAATAAGTTTGCATTTTTCATTTGAAACAATAGAAATACTTCCTCAAATTTATTATAATTGAATATAATTCGGTGTATAGTTTTTCTAGACAGAACTCAAAGGTGAAAAAATTCATGTTTATGAATTACTATAAAAATTGTTATGCAACTCTTTTGCCGACAAATAAAAAATGTTCGGTTTCTGCGAAAGTACTCAAAGCAGAGATGTTTGCAAGCAAACAAAACACAAATAGATTTTTTTTCACATTTGCTGCTTGCTGTTATTCGTTAAGTTAAAGTCCATAGTGTGAGTGATTAAGTGAGACCCAAAAACTCAAGATTAATTGCAATAAGTATATTCACATTTAAAAAATCATTTTTCTTTTGTAAGCAGTTGTTTGGTGAAATGAAGAGCCAAATATATCAACTTGAGTGTTTTATGTGGCCCAACAAAAGTTAAGAAGGGTATAAGTTTCTACAATTTGCTTTGAATTAGGTGCTGAGCCTTAACCAGCCCAAAAATTTAAGTAAAGCATTTTCAGGAAAAAATGACCACCTTCACATCTGCTCAAATTTTGGCCTTTTTAGGAATCGGCTTAAAAATAAAGTGATTGCATTTTTATTAGACGTGCGATCAGGGCGATCAGGTTACTGTTCTCTGCATTTATACCTTGAGTAATACAAACTATCAAAGTTATGAAATTTGGGCGGGATAAGTAACAAGACCTAAACTTATTAACTTTGATATGATTCTTAGCTTTTTTGTTATCATTGCATATTATGAAGCCAATTTCAGAACTTTCCAATTTAGATTTCTAGCTTCCTTTGTTTTGTCCAAGTTATTTAAATCAGCACTAGGTTTCAGTACGATAGATTTTTGTAAACTTACGACGTGCTTTTGTTGTGCCTTTTTTCCCATAAAAAAGACTGACAATGAATTTTGCGGTACTAATTTCATGGTTAAGCCATGGTTAAAGTAAGTCCGTTAATTTTTGTACCACGGTGCAGGGGCGGATTTAGGATTTTCAAAAAAGTTTTTTTTTCAATATTTTGTCGATCTTTTTTTAGGTCGACCAAAACCGCTCGCAGAAAACTAGCAGATCGTATTTTGACAAAATTTTTCGCGCGGCACGCAAATTTGTGAAAAAACTGTTTAAAAAAGCCGTTTTGGGCATTTTTTTAAGAAAATTTTGACAAAAAACCGCGCTTTTTGGGCGCGTTCTCCCCGTCAAAGTTAATATATATCGGCGCCAAAGGAGCCTTCAGAAAAATTTTGGTCAGTCAAAATCGGATTTCTTAAAAAGTACTAAGGGGACCATTTTTGGTCATCAGGGGGTCGACTCTCTGAAAAGGAGGCGTCCCCCATAAATCTGCCCATGCCAAGGTACCAAAAAAACACCCCTATGATACGACAGAACTAGTAGCATTGTAAAATCCGCTTGAGCCTGATGTGATCAATAGAAATTTGAAATTGCAGACGCTTCTTTTGTATAAAAGTAATTCTTAAATTATTGTTATCCTTGCTTTCTTCAGACTCCAATTCTGTTGAATCAAACAAAACAATGGAAATTTTTTTTTGGCAGCGACAGACTTCAAATTAAGAGATTAAATTTAGGCTTTTCTCTTCTCAAACTGACGTTAAATTGGCTCAAAAGATGTTATTATGTTTCCACCGAAGCTCAAAATGACCATCTTGAGTTGGCTTTCTGTTATAATGAATCTGAAAACATCAGAATTTTTTTCAAAGCTCTACTCAAATACTGTATCGATCAATTATTTTTAGTTTTGCCTCTACGTCATAGATACAAATAAAAATCTGCAAACCACTTATACACAATTCGTTGTGTTAATTTTGTAACTGGATTTTATTTTTATTGTTAATCGTATTTCAAGTTGGTAGCTGCTTTATGGTATACAATATTAGTAGTTTATGAAAAATTAATACAATTTTTTTATTGTACTGTTCTTTGAGAGAAGTTTATCGCTGTGATT